GGTTCTGAGAAAGCTTATTTTGTGATCTTGTCATGAAAAGCCGTTACTCGTGATGAAGGTATTTATAGGAACATGTAGTAGAGGGGAAATATGTGGATTATTTAATATGAAATTCTTAAAGTTTTTTCATGCATGGTTTGAAACTTTTTAGTGCATGCAAGCAAGAAAAAAAATGGAATTTTGACTTGAAGAATATAATTTACTTTAAAATATCGGCTGACCTTATATTTTATCAAATTCGAATTCCAATTTTTATGTGAATAATTATATTATTCGTACTAACACTACTGATCTAAAGGCATCGTAAATAGTCAGCGACATTAAAATCCACGTGTCGTATTTTCTTACGATTGGTATCATAGTTCTTGTGGTTGATCCACAAAACTTAAAGTTATCGATCGTCCCAAAAACAATAGAAAGATACTTTCTAAAATATACTCTCTCTTTCTTTCTTTTTTTGGGTAAACACAACTTTTGTAAAAAAAGATTTTCAGTCTTATTCTTTATAAAGAATTGCCACTAATTTCAAATTTTGCCGATAAAATGGAATATAAAAGAATTTTTTTCTGAGATTGTCCTTTGAGATGAGAATATAATAATTGTGAGACTCATCACATTGTGAAAGGAGCAGTAATAAATACATATTATCCAAAGGTGTTAATTTTTTTTACCTCCTACAATTTCGATTTGTGTTATACGTACCGATCGATTTGTATGCATGCCATGCGATATCCATAAATTCACAATCAAATGAATCACTAGGCAAAAAAAAATAAGATAAAATAATCCAAATTAGATGTATATACACACATTTTTCTTAATTCTCTAGGAAATGAATGGGTTTTTAATTTTTAGGGATAATTCCTGGAAATGGTAGAATGATATTTTTAGTTATATGTTTTTTTTTGTTAAAGTATTTTTAGTTATATGTTGTTCTAGTGTGCAAAATTAACTCAAACAGCTCGTTTAATGTTAACTATTAAAGGCATCTCCAACTATCTATTTGGTGTGATTTTAACACTAAATTTAGTGTTTTGGTGTAAAAAAAGTTTTCCGTCTCCAATCATAACACCAAATTTCATACTAAACAAATATTTTCTATTATTATATTAGTAACTTTAAGTTTTCTTTATTTTTAATAATTTGATAAATACTAATTATACTGATTATAGTATTTGAAAAAAACATACTAATTATTCTGATATAAACTAAACATAA